CACCCTCCTCCTTCTTGCCCCGCCCCCAGCCCTGCTCCTCCCTCCCTGGCCGCGCCCCCTTACTTTCGAGCTGAGAATGCACATCCCCCACCGGTGTTCTGGCTTTCTATCAGTGGTCCTGCTGTGCTCCCAGGCTCCCAGGCATGTAACCTCAGAGCCTCCGACTCCCTCTCTCAGCTGGCTAAGAACACCGCGTTCTGAAACGGTTCAGTCATCCTTGCCCTCTGGTTGCCTCCTGCCTGGATTGTGACCATGGCTCCCTAACAACTCTCCCTGTCCCCTTTCTCCATCCTCCAATCTCCCTACCCACTGTTCCCAGATTCACATTCCTCAAGTTCACATCCATGGTGTCTGTCCTCTTCTCTAATCAGCGGTCCCCCACAGTGCAGGTGCTGGCGGATGGAAATCAGGCCATTGGGATCTGGCCTCTGCCTCTTCCAGCCTTGGCTGCTGTAGATCTTCGTCCCCCTCTGAGCTTGGAAACTGTATCAAGCTGGTCCTTTGCACATGCTGTTTCCTTGGTTGGTAATGACTGTCTCCACCTCACCACCTTCCCCAAACCCGGCCGCCACCACGCAGTAAACTCACATTTCAAGGCTCAGGTCAAGTATCTTTTTAAAGAAATTTATTTGGTTGTGCCAGGTCTTAGTTGCAGCAGGAGGACTCCTTTAGTTGTGGCAGGCAGGCTCCTTAGTTGCAGCCCACCGGCTCCTTAGTTGTGGCATGCGAACTCTTAGTTGCGGCATGCATGCGGGATCTAGTTCCCTGACTAGGGATCAAACCCGGGCCCCCTGCATTGGGAGCGCAGAGTCCTATCCACTGGGCCACCAGGGAAGTCCCAGGTCAAGCATCTTTGAAACACCTTCCTGATGACATCAGACACATTCCCCCCTCTTTTGTCCCTAGTTCACACTGGGTATCTCACACTGGATTTTGGATTGGGGTGAACCACTTGCTAACCTGAGTCTTTCCCCTAACTTTGGCCCCTGGAAGCCAAAGTCACACCTTGTGTTTGAAATGTGTAGTTACCATTACTGAGCACTTAAGAGGTGCCTGACTGTAGTGAAGGTTAAGAGGTGGGACACTGCACCTCAGGCATCATAATACACCAACCTCATAGGATTGTTATGAGCAGAGGGTGGGAACAGGGCCTGGCACAAGGAGCCTCCTCAGCCCTTACATGCATCTGTGGTTTTATTTAACCCTATAACCTCTGAAGTAGGTATTGCCACCTCCACTTTACAGAGAAAACCGAGACCCAGGCAGTGCCCAAGATCACAGAGAGATGGAGCCAGCCCTCTGGATTCCAACCCTGTGCTCTCCACCCCTCACCCCTGCACTCCATTCCACCTCAGCCCAGCACCTGGCATCCACAAGCCCAGTCAATGTTTGTTGCATGAATAAAAATGATTCACCAAGTGGCATGTTTGCCCCCTCCAGTCCGGGCAAAATTTCTGGGCAATTGTTTGGCATACTCGATAAAAACAAATTGTTTGCATGGTTGACGCATCCTGGTCACTCCTCTGGCCTCAGCTTAAATATCACTTCCTCAGAGGCCGTCAGCCACCACCCCCTCTTATACATTAGCTCCCTGAATAAGAAACACAGGAAGGACAAACCAGAAACCAGTGAGGATCGTGGGTAGGAACACAGTGGAGGGGGCAGGGATGGGAGTGATTCTAATTGTTACTTGACTTTTATATAGCTTGACGTTCATATATGTAATACCTCCAAAAAAACAATTAAACCAAAAGGGGAGGGACACACTCATTATTTTTATATATATATATATATATTTCTTTTGGCTGCATCGGGTCTTCCCAGTTGTGGCACCCGGGCTTTCTCTAGTTGCGGCGAACGGGGGCTACTCTTCGTCGCAGTGCGTGCGCTTCTCATCGCGGTGGCTTCTTGTTGCAGAGCATGGGCTCTAGGCACGTGGGCTCAGAAGTTGTGGCGCACGGGCTTAGTTGCTCCACGGCATGTGGGATCTTCCCAGACCAGGGCTCAAACCCGCGTCCCCTGCATTGGCAGGCGGATTCTTAACGACTGCGCCGCCTGGGAAGCCCACTCATTATTTTTTTTTCTTTTTAATTAAATTTATTTATTTATCTGTTTATTTTTGGCTGCGTTGGGTCTTTGTTGCTGTGTGCAGACTTTCTTTAGTTGCGGTGAGTGGGGCTACTCTTCGTTGCAGTGCGCGGGCTTCTCATCGCAGTGGCTTCTCTTGTTGCGGAACACGGCCTCTAGGCACGTAGGCTTCAGTAGTTGTAGCACGCAGTAGTTGTGGTGCACGGGCTTAGCTGCTCCACGGCACGTGGGATCTTCCCGGATCGGGGCTCAAACCCGTGTCCCCTGCCTTGGCAGGCAGATTCTTAACCACTGTGCCACCACGGAAGCCCCACCCACTCATTATTTAAATTAATAAAATAACCACACAGAGCACAGAGAAAAGAGTAATTTCAAGTTACTTCTGGGCACTATACTCTGACAGTATTTCCTTAGATACATTCTAAGGAGGAAAAAAAACCTGTAAAAAACTTTTCACTCCATAGGTATACTTTTTGTTGGTTGTTTGCTTTTGGCCACAAGGCTTGTGGGATCTTAGTTCCCTGACCAGGGACTGAACCTGGGCCCTCGGCAGTGAGAGCCTGGAGTCCTAACCACTGGACAGCCAGGGAATTCCCGTCCATAGGTATACTTTTAGTAGTAACATTAAAATTGTAATTTTGAAACTTACGTATATTATAGGATACAGCAAATGAGCACATTAGTATTAGTATAGGATCTAAGATTTTCACTGCAAAAGATATATAAATTAAAAAAAAAAATTTTTTTTTAAATTAACTCCTTGTATTTCCCCTTAGGGCCCACAGTTGGTAACATCACACTGTTTGATGTCAGATGAGAGGGGCTAGGAATCACCAACTATACTGTCACCCTGCTCCAAGGCAGGTCTCCCTGTGGTTCACTGCCTACAATGCAGGGCCCTCTGGCATCTCCTGGCGGTTAAGAATAAGGACCCACCTTTGCCTCAGCCTCACACGGAGGGCCAGAAGGAGACCCTTTACCAGGCCTGAGCCAGACTGTGGGGTCACAGGGTCTTCGAATGCCAGCACTGGAAGGAACCTCAATTATGAGGGTTTTGAGCGATGTCCAGGACTTACAAGCGGTCTCTCAGAGCCCTCCACCCCCTCCCTGGGCTGAGCTCTTGCCTGTGAGTGGAGATCGTGGCAACAGTGGATTTTGGGTTAATGAATGAGAAGCGGGAAAGTAATGTGTGCTAGATAAACATGGACTGCTAGACAAATTCTTGTATAAGCTGGCCAGACAAAAGGCAGCCAAGGCTGAGGGCTGTTCCTTTATCAAAGCTTGGCTGAAGGAACTGCCCAGGCTCATCTGTGGCACAGGTGCCATTGAACCCAGGAGAGCTGTGGTCTTGGGCAAGTTATTTTACATTCACACTGTTTCTTCATCTGAAGGCAGGGAGATTAACACCTAACTCAGAATTAATGGCTAAGATAACTCAGAATTGTGGATAAGATAACGTGAAGAGCGTTTTGAACGTTCCTATTCAGTGTGGTCCTGGGCTGTGGGCATCATCTGGAACTCGTTCGGATGCAGATTCTCAGGCCCCACTCCAACCCTCCTGAGTCAGAAGCTGCTTTTTTTTTTAACGAGGTCCCCAGGTGGTTTGTGTGTGGTCTTTGAAGCACAGGGTTAAAACAGTCCCAGGGAGGTACCAAGTACTCTCCGAGTGTCCTCAGCCATCCCCGGCTCCCAGGTCTGCTGGAGAGAAGCCCCTAGAGCAAAGAGGTGGGTGGACCAAGGGCTGCCCATGTCACTTTATCCTTTTCTACTTTATTACTTCAAATTAACAACCACAATAAAGCTCAAAAAAGTCCAATATTTACACAGGAAAAAAGTACAAAATTCCCCCCAAAGTTCTTCAGTATTTTTTTTCAGTTTTTTAAATTACAAAGTAATAAAAAGTTTTGCTCTTTAATTAAAAAAAAGGAAAAAGAAAATAAAGGGGAAACAGAGGTAAATAAATTAGGAAATACACACACGGAAAAAAACAAACAAAAATAAAGTAAAAACGAGTGTTAACTAGGCAGGATGGATAAATCCAGTGCCCAGGCCTGACCCCAGGTGAGTGTCAGGACCAGGGAATTAATTTATAACCCAGGAGCCAGATGCCTTCTGGAAGCAGTCTCCACAGATTCTGCCCTAAGACCAGAAAAGGGGGACCACAGGCTGATGACAGTCTCAGGGGTCGGTGGTGTCAAAGACCCTCTGTGCCCTTCTTGAGGGACATGGAGGTCACCGCCCACCCCCATGTCCTTGTCAGGGGCATGAGAACACAAAGTCGGCCTGGCAGGTGGGCGGGACACCTTTTGTCCTGGGAGATACAGGTCTGATACATACACACACGCCCACAAGGACTCCTGGCCCCCCCTGCCTCACCACCTCCTCCTCAAGGTCTCTGTGGACAGGCAAAGAAGGAACCCAGACGCTGACGGGGGCACTGGCAAAAGCCCAACACAGAAAGTCGGCGGCCATCATCTCAGGGGGGTGGGGCTGCACACGTCTCCCGTGGTCCCAAGGCTCATGGACACCCAGTGGGACCTGCCTCTGACCAACCAATCCATTCCCCCAGCTCCTCAGGCCACCTCCTGAGGGCCCGTGAGGACCTGCTGCAGCTCCAGTGCAGAAGTGTCCCCCTCCCAGCCATGTCAGGCGGCGGCCGTGGCAGGGCCGTGGCATCCGCCAAGTGTAGCCTGATGTCTGGGAGCGTTTGGCAGCCTGAAGGCTGTGGGCAGCAGGAAGTGTGAAGGGACGAGGATCCTCTATGCCAAGGGCATCCCATCTTCTTGCCATTGGCAAAAAAAGAAAAAGAAAAAAAAAAGAATCGAAATAGAATCCATCGTTGGTTTTGTGCTGGGTTTTTTTTCTTTTTGTTCGAGTGGTTTTTTTTTCCCCATCTTTTTGTTGTTTTTTTAAAAGAAAATACAGTGAAGACACTAGAAAGGGGGAGAGAGAAGACAGATCAGGTGCACATCTGTCTCTGACTACCCATTTGCCAGCGGCCTTCAGCTCCTGTCTTCCTGCCCCCGAGGCTTTGAGCTGGTCCCTCTCTGGGGCACACAGTAGGTGCTCCATTTTCACAGAAAAGACACAGAACCTCTCTCCCTCTTTTTGGTGAGCCGCCAACCCCCAGCCACACATCTGCCCCACCCTGCCACGGATGGACTGGTTCCTGGGCCTGAGGTCTGACGAAGGTAAACTCCGATTTATGCCCCAGAGGTACCTGTGGAACACATTTCCACAAAGCAGATCGTACTCAAGATGTCCTGGTGCGAGGTCAAGCCTGTGAAATGTAAGCTGCTGCCAGCCATGTACATATTCCCCAGGGAGCTCCGACATTCCCCCTACATACCGTCAAAGGAGCCCCAAGCGGGTACCCAAGCGGGGCCCGAGTGCAGAGCTGCGACACCCCACCTCAAGGCCTCAGGCAGCCACAAGTTCCATGGAGGCTCACACTAGCCAGAGGGCCTCTTTGACAGCAGATAAACTCCTAAGTACAGGGCCCTGTCTTACGTGCTCTTCATGAATGAAGCGTTTAACGGCCCAGAGGCTGGGCTAAGGCTAAAGCCCTGGGGAAGGTCGGGGTGTGGGGCCCCGAGCTCAGTCCCTGCTACCAACCTTCCAGAATAGTTAAGGCAAAGCGGGGATGGAGGACTGCCCCACTCAAGAGGGAGTTTTCCAGCAGAAGTTAGCTGGCGTGGGCCGGGCCCACTCAGCGCACACACTGGGCTCCTCCAGGGGGCCGTGGGTGTTTCCAGACCTGACGGGGCTACGTCTGCAGCAGACATCGGCTCACCTAAGCAAATACTGGTCCGATGGTGGCTCCTCACTTCCCGATGTGGTCAAATGGCACGCTTGTCTTTGGGAAGGGAGGCAGAAAGGTGGGAGGGGTGAGCTGCTGGCCACGGCACTTCGGCAAGTCTCTCCCCACCGTGGAGCCCCACCCCTAACCCAAGCCCCTCAAGCCAAGGGCAGGGGTACGTGATCTCAAGGACCCAGGATGTCTCTGTTTTGTAAGACAAGAACCCTGCCCCCAGCGGCAAAGCAGCTGCTCAAGGCCACACGTGAATGGAGCCGCTGGACTCCCAGCCCGTGGCCTGTCCTGCTGAGACTCCTCCAACATAGGCAGGAGGCCCAGAGCAGGTCTCCCGCCCACCTCTGCCGGACCCCTTCCCTGGGCAACCCCGGATTCCCCCTTCCCAACTTCCCTAGCCCAAACATGGCCCCTAAGTGGGGCCAGCCGACAGGGTCCACCCATCCCTCCATCCTGTGCTGACAGGGACGGTGGGGGCTCGCTGATGGCAGGGACCACGAGCCCCTCCTCTGTGAGCGCCCCGCCGCCCACACAGGCTGGGCCCCTGGCAGAGGGCTGGGTTCCAGCTCTATCGCCTGCTGGGGCGGTTACCTCTCCTGGCTCGGCTGTGAGGCACAGAAGGGCTGGCGTGAGGGCAGCTCACCTGTGAGGCTGAAATCCGGGAGACCTCTTGCCGCCCAGTGAGGTCGGAGGACGAGACGTTGGCGGGTGCGCCCCTGTGTAGCCTCATGCTCACCTTCCTCTCTCTGTCGACCCGTGAGATCGCTCTGGGAGAAGTGTTGCCTGGGGGCGACGCGGGGGGAAGCTGCCCTCAGCATCTGGGGCCCTGGCCGCCCCGCGCCCCCCTCGGGCCCCGCGCGCTGCCCAAGGTGTCTGCTCACCAGCTTGCTGGATGCGGGAGGCAGGGGTGGAAGCTACAGGCTCGGCCGCACTGCGGAGCCGACTGGCGGTGGCCCCAGTGGGCGGGCCAGGGGGCAGGGCCCTGGTCGCGGACCCCCGGAGCTGCCCCATCCTCTCCTCGCGCTCGTGCTCTCGCCGCTCCCGGTCCACGTCCTCGGGGTTCCGGGCTGCACCCTGTGGGTGTGACATGAGACCTGGTCAGCCCTGCGAGGTCAGCGTGCTCCGGGATCTGGTGCTCCCTCGGGGTCAGAGCGGGGGGAGGCAGGCCAGGTGGGCGTCTTGGGGAAGTGGCATCTCAGAAACCCTCTGGTCCGACCTCCTCCCCACAAAGCAGGAAGCCCAAGAGACCTGGAAATGACCCATGATCACACCGCACAGAGAAACAAAGCCACACAACTGCCCGGAAGGAGAAAGCTGGACCCGAGGAGCAGAGGAAGGTCGCGTGCCCCACGACAACCAAGGGTACTCCGTGGCCCTCCCAACCTGGGTCCCCTCTGTGTAGAGGGCCCCCAGCTCCTCAAGGTTTCCAAATACAGCAGGGCAGGTGTTCAGAGGCCCAGAGAGAGAGTTACAAGGCTAGCTGAAGGCAGGGCCAGGACTCAAACCAGGCTTCCCAGTGCCTAGCAAGGGAATCTTTTCAAAGGGCTGTTCCCCTGCCCCTGGACCTGGCAATGGCTTCTGGCAGGTGCTGTGGGGACCACAACCAAGAGGCCCGGGGGACCCACACAGATGCTGCCTGCCTTGGGATGGGAGCTGGAGAAGGAATGGGCTAGATGCCCCATGGAAGACAAAGAGGCCCAGCAGGCAGACTGTGGCAGAAGGGGTGCGTGAGCCCCTGGGGGCTCTGCCGTCTGGCCACGGCCACCCCCAGTGCAGGAGGAAAGGAGGAAGGCCCAGAGAGGAGTGCGGCATGGGAGCGGCGCCTGGCCGCGTCACCTAGTTGGTCCTGGGGTCGTCCACAGGGAAGGGTGGGGGCTGGCATAAGGGGGGCTGTATCTGTGGAGAGAGCTGCAGGCTGAGTTGGGGGCCTACTCATGGGCCACGGGGTGAGGGCTCCTGCAACCCTGTCTCTCCCAGAGAACTGGCAGAGAAGGCCCTGCCGTCCTTGGGAGATGGGGTAGGGGTGGCCCTTGACTTTAAGCAATTCCGGGAGACAGCGGCTGGGGATCAGAATGATCCCTGAATCCTACTGAAGAACCAAGGCCCAGAGAGGCCTCAGGACCCTCCTGGGGCCACACTGCTCAGAGCAGAGCTGGGGTGTGAACCCAGGCTTCTGCCACCCAGTCCCGCTCTGCTCTCCGCACCCCCAGAGGACTTAGCAGAACATTCTAGGGATGCACATTCCCAGCCCTCCCACCCACAAGCCTGGAAGATGGAAGCACCAGGGCACCATCTCCCGACCTCCAGTCCTCACCCCGGATTCCCACCCACTCAATTACAGATTGGCAAAGAGAATGACTCGGCCAGAAGCACAGCAAAACCTATGATACGAGCTGCAGCACCCACTCAGCACCCACTCATTAAACATCCTGTCCCATGGGCAGAGGGCACATCAACCCTACAAGGCAGGTATGAACTCACTCCCTGGTTGGAGAAACTCAGGCTCAGTGAAGCCAAGTGATTCACTCAGAGGTGCACAGCCCAGGGGCCGTGGATGAGCGGAGGGCTGGAGCCCCTGCCCTTTGTGACCTCAGGAGGCTCAGGCCAACGGCAGGCTCAGGCCTGCGGCAGGCTGAGGTGAGCTACTCTCTCCATTTCCAACCAACCCAAGTGATGCCTCAAGAAACGCACACCAGGGAGGTCTCTTGGCTTTTTATTTGCCCATGTGAAAACACAGAAAGGTCAACATCAAAGTCACACAAGCATTCACCAGTGTCTTATGGACCCCTGTCCTTGGCTGTGTCGAGTTTCCACCTGGCCAGCTAGTTAGACCTCGGAACAGTGGCTCTGTGTGCTGAGAGCAACATCCCAGGCTCCAGGTACCCGGGGATTCCAGGGCCCTGATGCCAAACGATACGAGGCGGCCACTCCAAGGAGGGAAGTTCTCAGTCAAGGGCAGGATCCTTGCCATGGAAGAGCCTGCGGCCCACGGCGTCCAGCACGGTGTCCAGTCTGCTGGTAGGTGCTGATGAAGGTTTCTTGCAGGGGGGAAGGGGTGATGTGGGAGGGGCTTGGTCTCGAGGTGAGAGTGTGGAAGGTCTCCATCGTGTGTCTGCGGATACTTCTGCCAGGGGCAGCGGGAGGCAGCTGAGCTCACTACAGTGGTGATGGGGTCAAAGGTGCCCAATTATCCAGTATGATGGCCCTCAAGTCAGAGGTCGGGGCAGGATAAGGCTGTTGGCACCTTTGCTCAGCTTCTGAGTCCAGGGCCTGTCTCTAAGGGAATCCCAGGAAGGGGTCAGGGTGCCAGCAATGGGTGGAGAGCGTGCTCCCGGCCTGGTTTGAGGCGAGATCTTGTCGGCTGGATGGTCCCATGAGAAGCTCTGTGAGGAGCCATCTGGAGTAGCAGGTCCCACAGAACTTTCTGTGATGACGGGTATGTTCACATCTGCCTTGCTGTGTATGGCAGCCGAATGCCAGCCGCTTGTGGCTCCTGAGAACTTTAAATGTGCCAAATGCAACTGAGGAAGTACGTTTTCAGCTTTAATTAATTTTAATTAAAAATTAGCCACACGTAGCCAGTGGCTACCACGTTGGAGGGCACAGGCCTGGACGATGCAAAATCCATTCCTGGAGCTATACCGAGAAAAGGGCCAAACTCAGGCCAGAACCAGGCTCAGGAATGACTTTCTACATGGATGAGCGGGTGCCCAGTGCCCTGGGGCAAGAAGAGCTGGCCCCGGGCCCTCAGCTGTGCTCCCAGCCGGAAGGTCTGGGGTGAAAGGTGCCCCACTGCCCATCTCTCACCCCTGGGGCCCTTCGGCCTGTGGGACCCCCAACCTCTGCCCCACTCCTTAGGGAACAGTACCAGGCCACTGTCTGAGAGCCAGAGAGAGGAAGGGCACAAGACCAAGTGCCGATCCCAGCGTCCTGGAGAACAAGGCCTCGGTCCTGAGCATCTGGTGGGGCAGGCTGGGGCACCCACCAAGAGGCACGCCACGATGGAACGCAGTACAGGTAGTGGCGTTTAATGAGTTCAGGTTCAATACAGAGGCCACTGACAGGGTCTGGTTGAGGCTGCTCCTGAGGCCCATTGCCACCAGGCCCCTCCAGGGCAGTGAACATCGTCCCTCCTTCAGGCTCTGTTCATCAGGCAGCCGATTTGTCCCCAAGAATCTCGCAGCAGGGCCTTCTCCATCATGCCTCTCCACTGTACTCCCACCATGCCAAGGGATATCTCCTTGGGCCTGGCCCCGGTGGGCTCAGGCACACGTGGGGATGTCAGAACTGGGGCCCTGAGGTCCAGACCACAGGCCAGGAGTGTGGGGGGGGGGGCAGCTCCTCCATGGGCCTATCTGGAGGGTCCTGGGTGCCCAGGGGTGCCAGGCACCTGGAAGGGACAGAGAGAGCACAGCAGGGGCTCAGCCTCTTGTGCTCACTCAGCCGAGCGGTACGTCTTGAAGGCCAGGTCTTGGAGGGTCCTTACCAGTACGTGGGTGGGTACATGGACCCGGCACAGGCACAGGGGTGGGGCCTGGGCAGTGCAATAGCGTTGCTGTCACGGGGCCGAGCCTGGCTCGAGGAAGCCCCCTTTTCCAGAAGAGACGGGAAACAAGACATAGGATTTCACAGATTCCGGAGCTCTAGGCCCAGCTGACTACAACAGTTCTCCCCACCCCACCCCCAAGACTCTTGAGAGAGAGAGAGAGAGAGAGAGAGAGAGGAGGCGCCTAGCAAGGCCCAGGGTCCCATGACCAGGAAGAAGGAAGCCACAATGAAGGGGTCCAGGCAGGCCAAGGGGGCCTCAGTGAAGGCCGCCACCTCGGAGGTGCAGGGCAACAAGAGCAGGATGGTGTAGGCCACGATTAAGACAGCAGGGGGGCCCACCCAGCGCCATCCGGGCCCCACCCATCCAGGTGCCCAGGATGGACTCGAGGCCCAAACAGGCCCCCTTGGGTGTGGTGGGAGGCGGTGCCCTGCCTGGGCCCCGCTGACCGCAGCAGCGCGTGCCGTCAGCACAGATGACACTGGAGTGGGAGAACGGGGGGCTCCGGGACCCCAGTGACGTCACCCGCACTGTCCGGCTCATAGCTCCCCCCCTCCTCCCGGAGCCCCGCCCGCTACGGGGTCACGTCGGCTTTCCCAGTCCAGTCCCCCAAGCCCGCCTCGGCCTCCAGGTGACTCACGAATTTGAGCATGTTCCAGTCGAAGACATAGTCGTAGGAGAAGCCCTGCCGGTGGAAGAGGTTGCGGAAGAGCTGGCGCAGGTAGGAGTAGTCGGGCTTGTCGTCGAACCGCAGCGAACGGCAGAAGTTGAGGTATGTTGAGAACTCAGCTGGTGGAGGGGGACAAAAGGCGCCACCATGAGGCCCATACGCTCCCAGGGCCCCCAACAGCCGGCGCTGTCCCACCCAGCCACCGTCCCTACAGAGGCTTCTGATCTAAGAGGGGTCCAGACGAGGTCCGAGAGGCCGTCCTCCCTACAACGACCCATGAACTGCAGCCTGTCAAGAGCCCGACGGGAACTCTAAGCCACAGGAGAACTTCCATTTCCTCCTCTGAAAATCAGAGGCAAGAGAGGACCCTTGTGAGACGATAGGAAATATACATATTGGTTCCCGCCCCTGGGCCCCGAAAGCCCTTGTACCTGCCTAAGTGGTAAAAGCAGTAGGAGCATCTTTTGCTCTAAGGAGGAGACTCTGGGTTAGGGCTCCCGGATGGGGGCAGGTCAGCAGAAAGACCAATCCAGGATCAGAGGCTTGGAATTTCCAGCCCTCAGCCCCACCCACTTCTCTAGAGAAGGGAGAGGGGCTGGCAATGGAGTTAATGATCACCCGTGCCTCCATAAGTTTATGATGGAGCCTCCATAAATATCCCAATAGCATGGGGTTTGGAGAGCTTCCCAGTCGGTGAACACATCCACACCAGGAGGGTGACACACCCCAACTCCACGCGGACAGAAGCTCCTGCTTTCGGGACCCTCCCAAACCTCACCCTACATATCTCTTCCACTGGCTGTTCATCTGTATCCTTTACCACATCCTTTAATAAACTGGTAGACAAGTAGGTGCTTCCCTGACTTCCGGGAGCCAAATTAATCAAAGCCAAGGAGGGAGTTTATTTATAGTCAATCAGCCAGACGCACAGGTGGCAACCCGGACTCGTGACTGGCATCTGAAGTGTGGTGGGAACAGCCTTGCGGGACTGAGCCCTTACCCTGTGGGATGTGACACTGCCTCCAGGGAGACAGTGTCGGAACGGAGTTAAGCTCTAGGACACCGGCTGGTGTCAGAGAATTGCTTGCTGAGGGAAAAGAACCCCAGACCTTCGGTGACCAGAAGTGTCAGAAGTGAGGTGTTCCGTGAGAGAAGTGAAGGAGACGCCCAGGAAGAGGAAGGTCTGGAGTTTCTCCTGACATTCAGCCCTTACGAGGTGAGGCCGGAGTGCGGGTTGGGGACACTCGCTATTTACCGGCCAGGCCTCCTAGCTGTGCCTGGACAGTGGCAGAGCCTGTGACTGACGTTCTGGTGCCAGGCAGTGGTAGCCCAGGACAGGCTCATCTGCCCCTCAGAAGGCGCCTCAGGGGTCCCAGGCTAACCACCTGCCCCACTGGGCTACTCACAGGGGTAGCCTTTACAGAGGACCTCAATGGGTGTCGACATCTTCTTCTCGCTGATCCGCTCGTACTTCTGGCGCTTGGTGGCCGCTTTGAGGCCCTGCCAGGGCAGGGAGCCCAGGTTGAAGTACATAAGCACGTAGCCCAGACTCTCCAGGTCATCTCGACGGCTTTGCTCTGCAGAGTCAAGGACGACGTGAGGGGCAGGGTCCGCTTGGGCTCCCGGCGGGCGGGAGTCAGGACCCCCTTCTCCAGGACACGCTCCTTGATTGAGGGGAACAACCCCCACTGTGCACCCAGCACAAGCCCCCCACCTTGTCACATGCTGGCTTGCTGCAGCACCACTATGAACAGGCACTGTTATCACCCCCTTCTACAAGAGAAGGGGCCGGAGGCTGAGCTTTTCCAACACAACCTAGGCCTAGTTTTTCCAGCTCAGGCTCTCATTCATTCAGCAACTATGCAGTGGGCACCCCGGGGCCTCCTTGCCTGGCCAACCCTGCGGATAAGGCTCAAGCAGTGGCACCAGACAGGGCTCGGGTCAGTTCTGACTTTGGCACTTGCTAAGCTGTATGACCTTAAGCGACCTGTGTCACACGGTGAGCCAGCATTTCCCACACGTAAAAATGAGGAAACAGGGCTTCCCTGGTGGCGCAGTGGTTAAGAATCCGCCTGCCAATGCAGGGTACACGGGTTCGAGCCCTGATCCGGGAAGATCTCACATGCCGCAGAGCAACTACGCCTTTGCGCCACAACTACTGAGCCTGCGCTCTAGAGCCTGCGAGCCACAACTACTGAGCCCTCATGCCGCAACTACTGAAGCCTGCGCGCCTAGAGCCCGTGCTCCGCAACAAGAGAAGCCACCGCAATGAGAAGCCCGCGCACCGCAACGAAGGGTAGCCCCCACTTGCCGCAACTAAAGAAGGGCTGCGCGCAGCAACAAAGACCCAAGGCAGCCAAAAGTAAACAAATAAATTTATAAAAAAAAAAAAAAAAAAAATGGGGAAACAGCCTTGCGCACCAAGGCTGCTGCGGGGATGAGTAAGGCACGAGAGGGCTGGTGCTCGGCACCCCACAGCTCTTCTTGTGAAAGAGAAGACCTGCCTGTGCGGCCAGCCAGGGGAATAAACCCAGGCTGCAGAAGGAAAGCCAGGGCCCTGGCCAGCAGCCCGTGGGTGTACTCTGCTCCCGGGCCTCGCTCACTCACCGATGCCCAGGTGGGTGTTGATGGAGGCGTAGCGGGCAGTGCCAGTCAGGTTCTTGTTTTCCCGGTAGGGGATGTGCTGGTGGGTGCGGGCGTCCCGGTACTTCTTGGCCAGGCCGAAGTCAATGATGTACACCAGGTTGCCCTTCTTCCCCAGCCCCATGAGGAAGTTGTCGGGCTTGACGTCCCGGTGTATGAAGTTCTTGGAGTGGATGTACTCAATGCGGCTGATCTGGGGGAGGGGAGAGCAAGTCGTTCAGCACATGTTCCACACAGAGGCTGGGGCCGTACAGATGGAAAACACATCCGTGGTCCCTGCCACGGGTGGGGGGGGCGGGGAGGGCCAGATCAGTCTGCAATCACCATGTATGATGATTTCAAGGGTCAGGTCATGGAAGGCTTCCTGGAGGAAGTGACAGTAGAGAGGAACTCTGAAGGAAGAGTTCATCAAGTTCGCTGTGACAAAGGAAAGAGAGCAAGGCAGGAAAGCGAATGGCAAGATCTAGAAATGAAGCCCAGAAAGGCATTCAGGCCTCACCTGCCTGGCTCTACACCCACAGAGGACGTGAGAGGCCCTCAAGGGACCAAAGACGCATTTTGAAGGCTGTTCTGGCAACCAGACTGGGGCGAACAGGAGGACCAGTGAACCCTAAACTTGGCAGGGGTGACAGAGATGGCACACACAGACAGGACTTGTCCCCTGGCTTCCAGAGGACACCAAACTAAGGCGGACACACAGGCCCTTGTCTTCCTTTAAACAATGTGTTAGAAACCTAAATCAACATATAGGTACACAATAGGTCCTCTGGCAGGTTGGTCCCCTCCCTGGGCCTCAGGCTTCTGAGTATCTCCTAAACCCTTTTTGAGTCTCCCGTCCTATGAGAATCCGACAACCCTCCTCTGCACACACACATCTAGCCTAAAACTGGAGAATGTTTGCAGACGTTCTGGAGGGCAGCCACAGCTACAGACCCCTATGTAACAAGATCTCCATGTATCATTCCAGGGCTAGAATTCTATGCTTTTTAAATTTTCTTTTCCTAAAATTTTCCTCCCTTGAACTTATAAAGGGATGGAGGACCTAAGCATTGCTTGTCCGTGGGCTCCTGCTCTGGTCCAGGCACCGTGTGGCGTCCCAGGTGACTGCACAACAACCCAGCAAAGGGAAGACGCTCCTGAGGAGACTGAAGCCCAGCAGCTCACCTACAGTCAACCCACAGGGACAGGACCCAGGTCTGTGTGACCACAGGCTTTACACTCACCTGAGGGCAGGGTCCCAGTCCTTGCCCGGAAGCCCAACCGAGCAGGTCTGGAGTGGAAACTGGGACCCTCCTCACCTACCCCCCAACCGTGGCTGATGGTCAAGGTCCCGTGGTTCTGGTCCAGGAACCAGGCCTGTCCTACGTCGCCGTCACTGCCTCCTGGCTCCAGCATCCTCCAGCTGGGTACCCAGTGCCCACTGGCACAACGGGGCAGGGGAGGTTGGAAGGGAAGCTGGGAGCCCAGTCCCCAGCCCGAGTGGCTAGGTGGGGGACTCACCATCTGGTCGGCCAGGAGCAGCACCGTCTTGAGGCTGAACTTGCGGGAGCAGAAGTTGAAGAGGTCCTCGAGGCTGGGCCCCAGCAGCTCCATGACCATCACATTGTAGTCTCCCTCGGCTCCGCACCACTTGATGGACGGGATTCCCACTGTGGGGGACGCAGGGCTGTCAGGGCCGGTCACTCCCCACCCCGCCCAGCCCCGGGGCCCCTCCCACGTGCGCACATGCGCAGAGCTCCTCCGGCCCCCCCTCCGGCCCTCACCTCCCCCCTGCATCATCTTGTAGAACTTGCTCTCGATGTGCAGCTGCGGGTGCTTCGTCTTCACACACTCCAGCTTGATGGCGACTTCTTCACCAGAGGCGATGTTGGCACCTACCGGGGCAAAGGGACCGGGGCCACCCTCAGCTGGGCAGGCAGCACCAGACCAGGACCCACTAAGCGTCTGCCCCCGAGCAGCTCAGCGCCCCCTGGGGAAGGCTGTGCAGAGGGCCCGGCACTGTATCCAAGGGAAGCGGAGGGACTGCGGGACACAGAGCAGGCGCCCGACCCAGCCTGGGTGGCCGGGGAGAGCCAGAGCTGCAGCTCGTGCCAGGGGAAGGAGGTGAGGGCTATGGACCATTCAGAGAACCGGAGGCTGGGGCAGCAGGAAGGCTGGATGCGAGGGGGGTCGAGGCACAGCCGAAAAACGCTCACAGACCAGTAAGGGGAACTTCACCCTGGAGCGTGGGAGCTACTGAGGACTCCCGAGCCGAAGAGAGGTGAGGTCAGTGGGGTGTGGGGCTGAGGAGGAGAGAAGGGAGGGGGGCAAGGCTGTATCAAGAAAGACCCAAATTCCCGCTGCACCTGGCCTCAGTCTCCCCAGCTACAGTAACGGGTGGGCTGACTTGGAGGGCTGGGGGCTAGGCTGAGAGGCCGGCTCCTTCTTGGGGCCAAGCGGGACCGTAGCTGCCACAACTGAACGGTGTAGTCTTAGCACACAGACAACAGAGAAAGTCCGGAGGAGGGCACAACGACTGGAAGAACTGAGGACAGGCAGGATAAAGCCAGCACCTCAAATCAGGGGACGAGATGGGGCTATGCAACAAACGTCCTTGGAATAACTGGCATCTGAGAAAAGACAGCCCAGCTCACAACACGCACCGGAAGTCCGAAGTGGAGCAAAATATAGTACGGGGGGAAAAATATCGGAGTGTAAGTTGGCTCAGCCACTTCGGAAACCAGGTTGGTCTCTACCTGGTAAAGCTGAACACACACAAACCCTTGGCCAAGCCAGTCCACTCCCAAGTGTATGCCCTTCAGAACCGTGAGCACCGGGAGGACACGAAAGGACCTGCACAGCAACAAAGCCCACAAAGTCCAGCACCAGAAGGATGGCTACAGGGTGGTGCAAGCGCCCCGGGGATGCCACAGGCACTGGAAGGCATACATGACGGCTAAGTGGGTGGCTCTCAGCATCTGAACCCTGAGTGCAGACAGCAAGGAGCAGCACCGTTCACAAGAGCCAGAAGGTGGAGACACCTGAACGTCCATCAAAAGAGGCGTGGAGAGCCACTCTGCCTGTCCCTGAGAAGGAATGGCGCGCTGACACATGCTGTGGCATCAGTGAACCTTAAAAACACTACGCTCAGTGAATAAGTCACACACCGAAGGGCAAAGAAATACTGTCTGATTCCATTACATGAAATGCCCAGAACAGATGAATCCATGGAGACAAAGAGTAGACTGGTGGTTGCCACAGGCTGGGGGCAGGGGGAAATAGGATGGGCCTGCTTAATAGGTGCAGGGTTTTCTTCTGGGTGATAAAAACGTCTTGGAACTAGGTAGGGATGGTGGTCGCACAACACTGGGGCTGTACTAAATACCACTAACTTGTGCACTTTTAAAATGGTTAATTTTATGTTGTGTGAATTTCACCTCAGTTTAGGGAAAAAAAAAAAAGAGGAAGGCAGACAGAAGGATGTAAGCACAGTTCTAATTGTCTCAATTTCAAAACACACAACACTGAAATATATATAGTTTAGGGATATAAACATGCGATAGAACTAACAGAAGAGACTAACTTAAAATGTCAAGATAGTGGTTACCTCTGTGTGGGGGAGGCAGAGGGCGGGACGGGGTGGGGTGGGGTACCAGGGGCCTTCAAGGTGACAGGCATGTCCCCCTCCAACTGGGTGTTGGGAAGGATGCCTTATACCATGCACATGTTTTATACATTTAATAAAAAAGTAAAACAATGAGATGTTAGAAGAAAGGAGCACTGCCTTTTAATTTGGGGGTAGGCAAGGCTTTTTATCCCGAGTTAAAATCCAGAAGCCATTAAAGAGAAAAAAAAAAAGGCTCTCTTCCCTCCTCCAAAAAAGGAATCCCTCTCCACGGCAAAAACACCAGAAACAAAGTCCTAAGAAATAGTGCACACTCTTATCAACAGCAAAGAGCTAACATCACACTAACATATAATGAGCACCTACAAAGCAGTAGGAAAAGGACCAATGACTCCATAGGAAATAGGGTAAAGGATTCAAACACACACTTCACAGAGAAAGAAAGAAATCATTAGTATAAAAATGGCTTACTCAGGGACTTCCCTGGTTGTCTAGCGGGTGAGACTCCGAGTTCCCAATGCAGACGGCCCGGTTTCGATTCTGGTCGGGGAACTAGGTACTGCAGGCATGCTGCAACTAAGGATCCCGAGTATGGCAACCAAGACCCACAGCAGCCACAATAAATGAATAAATAAATATTAAAAGACCACGTCCACCCGAGCCGGCCTGTGCTCTCGGTGGGAGGGGTCACTCCTCCCCAGCGGTCGCCATGTGAACTGGGGAAGCCTGGCTGCAAGGCCTCTCGGCTCCCTCCGTCTCCCACTCCGGGGACTTTACTCGATACCCTCGCACAGTGCAAAATAAGGCCTGGACGAGGCTGTCCACTTAGGCTGTTTGCAACAGTAAAAGCTTGGAAACAACCCAAATGTCCAGCAGTGGGGACTGGTTAAATAAAGAAAGGCCCATCCATAAAACGGAACACAATGGAGAAAGAAAGAGGAAGCTCTCTCGGTGCAGAAGTGGAAAGATCTCAAAGATACAGGAAGTGAAAAAGCAAACTACAGAACAGTATGTATTATATGCTCTCCTTTCAGTGGTTAAAGAAAAAAAACGGGAAACAATATGTGTCTGTGTTTGTTTGTGTCAACATAAAGAAACACTCAAAAGGAGCATGAGAAGCCAGTGAAGACTGGGCAGGGTTGGATCAGGACAGGAGGGGAAGAGGACATTTCTCTGATACCGTGTTACGTCTCATCATTTTCTTCAACACCTTTGTTGAGACATAATTCACATTCTACACAATTACTTCTTTAAAGTGTACAATTCGGTGGTTTTCGGTATATCCACAAGGTCACGTAACCAACACCACAATCAACTTTAGAACACTTTCACCATCCCCAAAACACCTGCATCTCTTAGTGGTCGCTCCCCATCTCCCCCAACGCCCCAGCTCTAGACAACCACTAATCCACTTTCTGTCTCTATGGACGTGCCTACTCCTGATATTTCATATAAAGAGAATCATAGAATATGTGATCTTTTGTGACTGGCTTCTTTCACTTAGCATGTTTTTGTGGTTTGGTTTTGTGTTTTCATTTCTGAACCACTTAAAACTTAAAAAAAAAAAAAAGTGGATTCCCAAATCCAGTGAGCAATGGGAGAGAAAGTGCTTTGCAAACTGTAAAGTGCTTTTGAGACGTCAAAACTCATCACTGGGGAGAGCCTCACACGTTTCCAGGCGACAGTGAGGATGGGGGTGGGGGTGGGGGTGGGGGGGAGCTGGGGCTCACTGCAGTCCACTGGCCGTGCAGTGGGAGGAAAGGCTGCAAGGGCTCCTGCTGTGTGAGCAGGACCATCCCAGACTGTGGTCACAGCACGTGCAAAGGCCCGACAGGAGCGGGTGCAGTGAACGCTGGGTGGTCTGGTGCAGCTGGAACTCGAGGTGGCTGAAGAAGACAGTGGAAGAGGTGAGTCAGGGGGAGATGGGGAGGGGCTCAAATGCCAAGCTACGATCCTGGCCATCAGCCTGAGACTCCAGGGGCCAGGCATCGATGCCTTATTACAGGGCACTGCTGACGCTCTGCTCTGGGGCAGTCCTGTGCACCGCAGGGTGTTTACCAGCATCCCTGACTCTACCCACTAGCTGCCAGCAGCACACCCCCACGCTGAGGTGAAACAACCAACAATGTCTCCAGACCTTGCCAAACGTCCCCTGTGAGACAAAATCTGGCCTCCCTCCCCTTGTTGAGACCCACTGGTGTATTAGAAAGGACAGGAGCGGACTTGAGGTGTGGGGGGGGTGGGACCCGGAAGGAGGCTGCTGCAATTGTCCAGACGATGGCGGCCCCGCCCAGGCAGGGGGAAGAGACCAAGAGACACTGGATGATGCAGGGCCTTCGGCACTTATGACTCAGCAGATTGCGCAGGGAGCAGAGGTGCCCGGAGAATGTCCCTTCCCGAAATGGGGAGGTGGAGGGGAAGAGCCCTTTGTCCCCTTGAGCTCTTACACCATCCTGCCAGTACTACTGTTTGTATCATATGAGGAAACGGAGACACCAAAGGTCAATGACCAAATGCCACACAACTTCCCTGAACAGGGACCTAAGCTGTTAGGCAAAGGCTTCTGACCCCAAGCAACTGCTGGAAAGCTGTCACAGCAGCTGCCTACGGGTCCCACCACCACCAGACCCCTGCACTGCCTCTGAACTCTACCAGGAAGCTGCCAGTCTGCTCTCTGACCTCCCTCACTTCTCACAACCACTGACCTAAGGCTCAGAGAGGATACGTAACTGGCCTGAGGTCACACAGAACTGGCTGGGGCAGAGCCAGGATCTGAAACTTAGTCTCTAGAGCCCCTGCTTTTTTCTCTACTCCAATTCCCTAGCATCTCATTCATTCAGTCACCAGACACATACCGAGCCCTGGGCCACCTGAGGCAGCCCTGCCCCGGAGGAGCTCAGCTCACCTTCCCCGGGAACAACAAAGGATAACTTTGATAAAGTGAAAAGTGCCAGGCAAAGGCAGCAGAGAACGAGCAGCCCTGTCGGGGGACGAGCCAGTGTGGAAAACAAACTTGGATGTAGAGAAGGGCTCAGGCCTGGCCAGCCCTAGAGGGTCTGGGGCCTTGGCAAGTTCTAGGTGGGGAGGGGGATGACCAAGCTCAAGTGGGGCCTCACCCACACACTCACAGACGGTACAATTGGGACCAGGCGGGACTGCAGGTGGGCAGTACCCACACCATCCCCCGCTGGGGTGCACCGCTCCTTCCCCCATCTGGAACTGAGGACCAGAGACTAAGAGGTGTAGAGAGCTCCTGAGGCACATGGCCAGCGGTTGGTAGAGTGGGTGGCACAGGCTCGGCCACTTCCGGACCCCATGCAGCCAAGGTGAGGCCCTACCAGAGCTGGCCCCGCATGATGCCGAGGGGAGAGGGAGGAGGGGCTGGAAGAGGAGTACAGGCCTTGCAGCCACATCCACAAATGTGCTCGCCTTCAGTCGATCCTGGAAAGCAGGGCCTGGAGGCCGCGCCCAGCCCCACCTGCAGAGGCCATCTGGAGTCAGGCCCTGGCACTGGCACCAGTGACAAGAATGTGGCCAGAGCTTTGAACAAAGGGAGCCAGTGAGGCCAGCCGGGGAGGCCCTACAATCACTACCATCCCCACACCAGCGAGAGGGGCCCAGGAAGGAGCTGGCAGGACACTGCATCAGGCCAGGGTCCCCGAGGCCTGTGCAGCCAGCGAAGGCTGGACAGTCAGCAGAGAACCAGCTCCCTACCCCCCCAGCTCAGGCCCAAAAGGACCCAGCTCCCGAGAGTAGCAAATCCTAACCAAGACTGAGGGTTGGGGGACAGACACAACAAAAAAGCACCACTGCAGGGCCGAGCATGTGCAGAGCTTCTGCATGCTGTGATCTCACTACTTCTCACCACCCCGGAGGCCTCGCAACTCCATTTTACAGATGGGGAAGCCAAGGCTGGCAGAGGTCATCACTTGCTCAAGGGCATACAGTGAGGAAAAGAAACGCCAGTACCTAAACCCTGGTAGAATTTACTCCAAAGCCTGTACAAAGAGGAGTAAACCCGGACCTAGTTTTTAAAATGAACTAGATGGGGGCTTCCCTGGTGGCGCAGTGGTTAAGAATCCGCCTGCCAATATAAGGGACACGGGTTCGAGCCCTGGTCTGGGAAGATCCCACATGCCGCACAGCAACTAAGCCCGTGCACCACAGCTACTAAGCCTGCACTCTAGAGCCCGCGTGCCACAACTACTGAGCCCTCGTGCCACAAGTACTGAAGCCCGCGCACCTAGAGCCCGTGCTCCGCAACAAGAGAAGCCACCGCATTGAGAAGCCCGCGCACCGCAACGAGGAGTAGCCCCCACTCGCCGCAACTAGAGAAAGCCCACGCGCGGCAACGAAGACCCAACGCAGCCAAAAATAAATAAATATATTTTTTTAAAAATGAACTAGATGATTACTGGATAAACAGGAAGTATTGCCCCCAGCAAGGTCCCACCACATGGACCAGGGACACTGACTTTCTGAATGACCTTGGGTTGCCCCTCCATCTATGGGCCTCAGTTTCCCTTCTGCAAAGAGAAGGCCTGGGGCTGGGTGCTGTCTAGGAGCAGGTATGCACCAGCCAAAAGCTGCCTCTCCCTGCCCTTTGCCCTCAGGCCAGTGGCTCCAGGCTTCAGTCCTGAGCCCAAAGCCTCCATGATAAGAGGGTCCTTTATACCCACCCCAATTTCACAAACAGTAAGAAGACGGGCACCCCCTTTCACAGATGAGAATGCTGAGGCTCAGAGAGAGAAAGTGACTTATCTCAGGTCACACAGCACATGAGAAATAGACTGGGGACCTGAACTTGCCCCCATATCCCCACATTCTTCTCTCCTGCCATAAGTGAAGCCGCTTCACAGGCCTCTGCACGTCACAGCCCCCATTTCCTCATTCATTCATTTGAAAGGCCTTCACTGAGCCCCCACGTGCTGGGTGCTGGGGTGAGAAGGTGGACACAACCCAACGCCTCCCCGCCTCCCCCCAGAGGAGCTCAGAGTCACAGAGCAAACCTTTCAAACAGCTCCATACTGCACTGTTCCTTCCCTCTGTTCTGAGCTCTGCTGTGCTTACAGGAGGGTGATCTACTAGGTGTCTGACAATGACCTGCACATCTGGCTGGCACGTTACAGTTTACAAGATGCTTTCCCACGCGCCCATTTCACTTGTGCCTCATGAAAGTCCTTAGTCGGCCAGGCATCAGAATCACACAAACCACCAACAGCACAAAGCCAGGACTGACGGCTCCTCTCCCACGTCCTGCCCTCTACGCTCCCACACCTGTGGAGGGAGAACGTCTGCCTTTTCTAGTTTGTTTGTTTGTTTGTTTTCTTTTCTTTTTTGGCCACGCCACACGGCTTGCGGGATCTTAGTTCTCCGACCGGGGATCAAACCCGCACCCTTGGCAGTGAAAGTGTGGAGTCCTAACCACTGGACCACCAGGGAATTCCCTGTCTTTTCTAGTTTTGGAGAGAAGCCTCGGTGGCCAACTTGATTGTGCTGCCCCCGTCTCAATGTGTGAAGCAGGGACAGCTCGGCACCATCTCTACAGGCTGTTGTGAGGGAAGATGGCATTCAAACAGGGCCCAGCCCAGCCTGAGTACTGTCCAGAGAATGTGGGCATACATGTCCCCTTCCCCTCTGATGGGGAAGGGGCAGCTCACTGAGAAGCAGTGTCATACCCTAAGAGGGCAGGGACCCAGATCACTGAGTAAGAGAAACCCCCCCGAGTTCTGAAGCAGCAAGCACGGCACACTGACCTGTCAGTTTCCTCTGCCCAGGACAGAACTGACTTATTGTTCTTTTCCCAAGAGGGAAACAGAGGCACAGATGCTTCCAAGGGCACAGGGACAGGAATGGGGAGAAACCCCAGGGGCTGCCACCTTGCTCTAACAACTCCAATTCACGATTACCAACACAGTCTCTCCCCTCCAGACCAACAACTGCCAAGGAAGGGCCGTGCCCCCTGCCTGTGCCCCGCGCCCCCAGGGCAGCTGAGAAAGGAGCATTCTCCTGGGTCAAGGACGGGGTGAGATGTCAGTGATTTGTTTAATCAACAACAAGAGAGCAAACTCAAGACTTTCAACAGGAAGCACATCCAGGGAGAGAGATCCTAAAAGCTAAGACCGACCCCCGCCCCGGCCCTGAGGTTGGCCCTGAGGTTACGGGGGAGCCTTCGTCATTCCGAAGCCTTCCTGGACTGAATTCCAAGAGGCCGGACCACGGGGAGGGGGCCTAGCTGGGAGCAATCAGCTTGCTCAAGCCTCTTCTGTCCACCAGCATCCTTCCCCCAGGAGACAAGAGACAGGGGGGCTAACCCAGCTTGGGTTTTCCCACGCCCAGCTGGAGACCCAGCTCATCTGCAGCTAGAAACCGGAGTTAAAAATACCCTCCTTTGCCCGGACTGCAGCAAGTGGGAACCCCATCCTGCCCTGACTGAGGAGCCCCTCGGCCTGCCTCACCCCCAGCCTGCTGCTTCCCTCCCCACCTGGGATGGTTCTGGGGACAAAATGACCAAAACACACCACCAGAGCCACATTCTGACTTCAGAGCATGAAATGTTGGCATCTTTCCTCCTAGTGCCCAGGGCTGTCCTAGGGGCTCCAGAGCCACTGAGCTGGAGCCAGAAACGCTCACCTAGGTAGATATCTCCGAAGGAGCCACTCCCGATCTTCCGGCCCAGGCGGTACTTGTTCCCGACACGTAGCTCCATGGTTCACTCTTGCTGCAAAAGTAAACAGAAACACAGGGTCAGAGAAGAGGGAAGCTGGGAAGGGGGCCTAGCCCCCGGAGCCCACTCTTCCCCCACCAAAGGTCAGGCAAAGCCACGAGAAACTTGGGACATCACCATCCTCCCTCCCACCGTCCAGGAAGGGATTTGGCCTTGCTTTGCCTAAAAGCAACCAGGTGTCAGGTAGGCCAATAGCCTCCATCTGTGGTGAGGCTATTAGAACAGGTGTCAGTGCAGCCAGGCAGAAGCGGGACTAGAGACAAGGCCCAGGAGGAAAAGAGCAAAGCAAGCATCTCCTCGGGGGTTACTCATTCAGGGACCCTCCGATAGGAGCCTCTCAGGGGCAGGCCAGTCACAATGGGCAAACACTCTGAAAGGAAAATCAAGGACAAAGTGGGTGATGGGGAGGTGGGATGCAGGAGCTGATCACCCTGGGGGTGCGGCCATGGCAACCACCAGCAAATTCCAACCTCCAGGGATTGGAGGACAGCTTGAACTGTCTCCAGAGGAGTTCCTCAGCCCCATCAGGACTGACAGGATCCCCGTGCCCCCATCCTTACCCCAGGCCTCCAGCTTCCAGCACCAAGAACTGGAGGCCAGGTCTTCACAGCCTGGGCTGGTCTTCCCAGAGGCAGACCTTGCAAGTCTGCAGTGTGCCCTGCCCAACTCACGGGGAAGGCAAGAAAGGGGCCCCCAGAACATCCACCTTCTGGTCCTCCCCCTCTCTCGACCTCACAACACCAAGAACCTCACAAAGGACTCTCTGCAAGGATCTCTCTGGATGAACAGTTTGGGGCTGGTTTTCTTCCAGATTAGGAGGGTCTCCTAAGAGGGCCCTGCAGAGCAACTGAGGGGACCAAAGCCAGGTTTGGAGCTGAAGGACCAGCTTCTGTGGTGTGGGAGGAGGTCTGGGGGGAAAGCGCTGATCTGAGCACTTCCCTCCTTCCTGTGCCCCACCCTGGGTGTCCAAGCTCACAGAACATCAGGGGCCATGCTGGTAGGGATGCCTCTGCTCTGGCCTGGGGCAAAGGTCTGGGCAGCAGAGGAGGAAACTCAAAAGGCCAGGAGGAGGTGGTTTTTGCTCTGGGGGATGGGGAGGGTTGGCCTATGAAATAAGGAGAGGGATGGGGGGTCCCTAAGATCTCAGAGGGTCTACGAGAGGGCAAGTGCAGAAAACTATAAAGAGGTGCCGCTCCCTGCAGACAGGGAACTGAGGCCCAGGGAGGACACGCCACCTGCTCCCCACCCCACCCCAGCAGCAAGTTAGTGACAGTTTCCTCCCCTAAGACCCAGACAAGGTTCCTGCTGCCCTGCCTGGCAGCCTCCACCCTCTCAAACAGGACCTATTTCATGCCAGGGCCAGGAGGCAAACAAAACAGGAAGGTGGAAAAGCAGCTGTGTGCGGCACAGAGGCTCTGTCCCTTCCCCATGCCGAGTACTACCCCAAAAGCCAGACCCACCCGGGATGGGAGACGGGAGAGCTGTATTCCACAGTTGGTCAGGCTGGAGCTCTCCACCCCAGCAGAGGCAAGGAGCCAATAGTTCCTGCCCAGGAGAGACATCCAGCCCCAGCACTAGTTCCCAGGGAGCCGCCACTAGCCCTTCACCAATGGTCACAAGGAAGGAGCTCCACCCGGCGCCAGCCAAACTCCGGGCTCTCCACCAAGGGCCTCTGCCCACACGCCTGGCCAGTCCCAGCTGAGGTGCCAGGGCTGCCGACAGAACACACTCCACATATGCGGGAAACTCACATGCCATACACCTCACATACACACCGTCCCGTGTGTACACTCCAAAGGAAGAAACCGCAGACATACACTGTGAGCCCTGCTTGGGGAAGGGGGTGGGGGGTGGGCGGGTGTGTACACACACAAACAAATCCCCCCCCC